AGACCTTTCAATATGTTCACCTAGATTAGCATCACTTTTGTCTTGGAATGTTCTCCCATACACATATGGCAGTGATCATTACCCAATATTAATATCTCTTCCTTTTTGTAAACCTAAACATCCTTTACGTTCATCTACAAGGAAATTCAATTCAATTCAATTTATTCAATGCAAGTCACAGGTCATACAGATGTTATAAATTAATTTTGTACAAGTGACGCCCTGTAAGGGCACAGCAATACTGAGGGGCAACTATTGCCATTTTTACTTATATATATTATTGTTCTAGTGATTATTATTACATTTAATAGTTATTTTACTTACATATCCAATATACTTTAAACTCGATTAATACATTTACAATACATTCATTTAATAATTATTTTATTAATTACTTAATTTATAAACCTTAAACATAGTTGATACATTTATTCATATATACTTTTTTTGTATTATTCTTTTTATTTTTTTATTTTTTATTTGGGCACAGTTTGTTACTTCTCGTTAAGAAACTCTTCAATATTGTAATAACATTTACTTATTAAGTATATTTTCAGCTCTGTAATAAACTTTTTTGTTTCTTTTATTTTCTTTAAGCTATTCGGAATATGATTATAAATTTTGATGGCCATAAAATGAGGTCCTGTAGTGACTAATTTCAGTTTAGAAAACGGTACTTTAATTTGGTTTTCTGTGCGATTGTTTCTCTTTTTAGCCAACTTTACCGGTGAGTATAAATTTTCATGTTTTCGTATAAACTTACAACATTCCATGATATAGATTGAGGTTAACGTAAGTATGCAAGTATGCAATACGTAAATACAGGCTCCCAGAAAAAAACTCTGAAGATTGGAATAAATTCAAAAGCTGTGTAGACACTAAATTAGCCTATCTTCCTGTAGTAAAATCTGGAAATGAAGATGACTGTGCTAATGCTTTGTCGCATATATTGAGTGAAGCTGCTGCAGAAGTGTTCCCAATGAAAAAACGTAGTTCTACTAAGATACCTTCCCCCCCATGGTTGGACAGTGACTGTTATATAGCTATTAAGAAGAGAAAGGAAGCAGAAAAAAAATATCGTTATAATATGACAACCTGTAATTATGATACTCTATGTAAAATTATATTGGAAACTAAGAAATTATTTAAACGGAAGAAATTTGAAAGCTGGCGTAATTTCTGTAGTTCTATTTCTCCTAATACACACCCTACTGTAGTTTGGCAAAATATCAAAAGGTTTAGATCCGCTTTTATTCCCAGCTCCACCTCTGTTACCCCAGCTGAAGCTGACGATTTTTTAAAAAAACTTGCTCCACCATGGGTTCCTCTTTCTATCAAGAATGATCACATTTCTTCACATAACCTCTCTGGCTTGAATTGTCTTTTTTCACTACCTGAACTTAAAGCCGCAGTTCTTAATACTAAAGATTCCGCTCCAGGGGGCGATGGCATACCTTACTCTTTCTTTTCTAATCTTAGTGAAAACATATTAAACTATTATTTGAAACTTATCAATACAACAATGTTATCAGGCAATATCCCCTTATCTTGGAGGTCACAAGTAGTGTTGCCCATTCCTAAACCCAATAAATCTTTAATTGATCCTCCTTCATACCGACCCATAGTGTTGTCATCTGTATTGATTAAATTAGCTGAAATACTCATTAAGAATCGCCTAGAATGGTTTGTGGAAAGTCAAAACCTGTTGTCAAAAACCCAATATGGTTTTAGGAAAGGAAAGAGCACTATTGATAGTTTGAGTATATTCACAACAGATATACGACTTGCGTTTTCGTTCAACAAATCGGTGGTAGCAGCATTTTTGGATATAAAATCGGCATACGATAATGTTTTATTATCTGTTTTGAAATGTAAATTAGAGTCTTTACACGTTCCACCTATTTTATGTTTTTTTATTTTAAACATTTTAAAAGAACGCTATCTTACAATTTGTGTGTCTTCTGACATAGAGATACAAAGAACAGTATGGCGAGGTTTACCGCAGGGTTCCGTTCTTAGCCCATTATTGTACAACATTTACACTTATGACATTGACTATGTATTTGAAAACAATATTAAACTTCTTCAATACGCCGATGATCTATTAATTTATTCCACAAACCATTCTATTGAAATAGCTTCAGAAAATATCTCTACTGCCCTAAGTTCGTTGAAACAGTGGATGGATACTAATGGATTAGAAGTATCAGCTACGAAAAGTTCAATAGTGGTTTTTTCACGAAAAAGAATTCTCCCTCCTCTCAATATTTCTTATAATGAAGTAAATATTCCGGTTGAACCTGAGAAAAAATTTTTAGGCGTATTTTTAGACACAAAACTCACTGGTGTGGCGCATTGCAATTATATTGTTGGCAGAACTGAACGTCTTTTAAACATTCTTCGATGCCTCTCCGGAGTTTGGTGGGGCGCTCATTCCCAATCTCTTAAATTAATTTATAACGCCTTGATACGCAGTCTATTAGATTATGGCACATTTCTATTAGAACCTGGCAATACTTGTGCTCTTAAAAAACTGGATAACATCCAATCCAAGGCCCTTAGAATAATAATTGGCGCTATGAAATCTAGCCCTATAAATGCGTTACAGATTGAGGCTTGTGACCCCCCACTGAGTTTAAGACGTCAATACCTATCTGATAGATTTATATTCAGTGCTATACAATTCTCTAACCATCCTCTGTTCCAGCTGCTTGAGTCCTTGAATATAGACATCGAAACTAATAATTATTGGATCCATAAATCACGTCCTTGCTTGATAATAAGTTATCAAAAATATTTAAATCTTTTAGCTCCTACCCATCGATCCAATTGTCTCCCCATATTTAGCGTAAATTTTGATGCTTTACAACTTTCCCCTTTAATTCGATATGATTTAATTGTTAAAGATGATAACAACGCGAACATTACATTTAAATCTGTTATTGAGGCAAATTATAATGACTATAATCACGTGTTTAGTGATGCTTCCAAATCCACCTTTACAGAATGTACCGGTATTGGAGTCTATCATTCTCAGTACAATATTTCACAAAAAAATTAAACTTCCTCCAGAGTCATCCGTCTTTACAGGAGAATGTTTGGGTCTATTAAAAGCTGTAGAATACGTGATTCTAATGAAACTCAAGAAAACAATAATTTTCACTGATTCCATGAGCTCTCTTCAAGCTTTATCTAAATTTCCATTCTGTAATCGCTCTTACTTACCTGTCATTTTTGAAATAAGGAGCTGCTTATTAAAATGTTGTTCATTAGGTTACTTGGTGGAGTTTGCATGGTTACCGAGCCATAGTGGAATTACTGGAAACGAAATATCTGATCATCTAGCTAAAGATGCAGTAAATTGTGGTGATATGTTTCCTTATAAAAATTATAGCCAAGATCTGCTATCTTTGCCCATGCGCTACTTACAGACCAAATGGAATACTGATTGGACCACTAGTAGTAAATTCAAAGGAAAACACTATTTACTAATTCAACCTGATATCTTACATAAACCTTGGTTTCGAAAAGCGAAGTATGGAAGGACTGCTACAAGTACTCTTTCACGTATGCGTCTTGGTCATGTTTGTTCTCCAGCACATTTAGCCAAACTTGGAATCATTAATGATGCTACCTGCGAGTGTGGGATGGATACTGGAGATTTAAACCATATCTTTTTTGCTTGTATACGTTACGATCGCACGGTCTTCCTTAATGACCTATTGTCTCTCCGTGTTCCTTTCCCGACATCAATCGTTTCCTTACTATCCACTAATAACCTATCCATTTATAATTGCATAGTATCATATATAATTTTAAATAATATTAAACTCTAATCTATTCTATATATGTATTATAAAATTGTGTAAATATATCTTCCTTCTCCCAATTCCTAAGCCTCCTGAACCTATCCCATAAAAAATCCGTTCCAACTTCTATTTCCTTTCGTTTCCGTTTCCCAAACTTTGACAATGGCTAAGCACAAACAGTGCAAGCCAAATAAAAAAAAAAAAATAATAAAATAAAAATAAACTTCAGACTTAAGTCAATATATATAGAGCCTAATGAATAATAAATTATACCAAAACCTTCATAATGCATCATTCCTCAATTACCAATACCATAAACTCGTAAAAAAATAACGTCCAAAAACCTGTAAACGAGAATGCACTGCAAGAGTCAAAATATAGACATGAAATTTTCCGATAGAAAAAAAAATAGAATCTTATTATACCAGAACTGTTATTTTTTATTTTTTGTTTAACGTAATTATTACAAAAAATTCATAAATAAGTGAATCTTTTTGTATGAGAATAATTATTTTATACTATAGCCGACTTTTTTATACTTAAGCAACTTTCGCAAGGGTCGGTCACGGATGGGTGACCAAAAAAATATTATCTCGAGCTACTCCGTGCTTCGAAAGGCACGTTAAGACGTTGGTCCCGGCTACATTTGCAGTCATTAATACCCTCCAATCCGCATTGGGCCAGCGTGGAGGGTCATGACCCATCCTCCTTAACCATCCATAAGGAAAGCCTGAGCCCCTGCAGTGGGGACGTAAAAGGGCTGGTGATGATGATAGCCGACTACGAATTTACAGAGAACTTTTAAAATAATCGCAAAACTTGGGTTAGGAGTAATTTATAAATATTTTTCTATCCATCCCCATCTTCTGCAACTGTGTTATTGATGGGCAGTTGATTTCTCTTTATAATGAAACTAGCTGTTTCCCGCGGCTCACATAACATGCATGTTATATGACTTCCTTAGCATGCAAACAAACAATCAAAACTTTTCTTTATAATTGAGGTAAAAAAGAATCGCAGCAACCTTTCTCATAGACATTATCGTTCTTAAAAGTCTATGCCTATTCTTATGAAAATGTTTGAAATCCATAAAAAAAAGAAAAATGTCATATTCTTGTAGTTAAATATTTTTTATATTAAATTTTAATAAAGAAAAAATAGAAAAATAACCATGTTTATCGTAAGAACATTATGGAACGTGAGTCGTCGGAGCCAAATGGTCAATAAAGTGACAACAGTTGGATTTAATTACAAAAAGTACCGACACAAGAATCATTACCAGTACTACAGCACCTGCCCATGTGGCATGAAAGTTACTATTTGTGGGGCAGCGGGATGCGTAGGTATACTATTTGACATAAATACCTATATTTCAAATCAATATTTCTTGTATTTTTTTTTATTTTGGCATCAAACAGTCATGTAAAATAACAATAATTTCACAAACAGTAATATGATTAAAAAGACCTACAGTGCCCAAGATTACAAATTAAATCCTATAAAAAAATATTCTTCTTTATAGGAAATATTTCTTTCAAAGAAGAAAAATTTCTCTTTTCTTTCTTTATGTTTGACTCTATACATAGTTTTCTCTGAGTTATTGAGTAAGAAAAGGTATATTTATGATCAGCATATTAATGTGCCCACTATAAGGGATACAGGCCTACTCCCTATAGATGAAATACAATCAAATCGAATAGGGAGAAGAATAAATCGTAGATAATAAAAGTGTATGCTTATTTTTGTAAATCGTTTGTGATTATTAGATATATAATAGGTTTCTAGATACAATAGTTTAAGAAAGTTACACTTTTCACACATATCATAGTATAGCCAATAGAGGCCTAGGGCGCTTAATAAATACATATCATATAGTTTTATATTATGGAAATCTTAAACAAAAAAGGCCATTCTCTACATTGAACCGACAGGGAATCGAACCCAGGCCTATCAGAGATGGTGACACTTCAAAACCGGCGTGCTAGCTACTCGGGGACAGAGATCAAAAATCAATATACATTTTATTTATTATAATAACCTGGTGAATCACCAATTCATGGCGTCCATTGATCCTTGTAATTATAAAAAGATATGGTTTGTTTTTGAATGTATGTTTGGAGTTCTTTAGCTCAATTTGTACGCGGTATTAAGTTAATTTACTATTTATTTATCGCTAAACGACGATGGACCAATTCGCTATAAGATTTTTTTTCTTAGATAACCATAAAAAATAAAGCCAGTTCAAAGCATCCAACTAGGGTAATCAAAAGTTTCGTTTAAATACGATCTCTAATCTGAAACTCATCAGGTCAGCCTCTAGCTTTACTGCTAAAGCAATGTCCACTGCTTGATGAGATTGCTCTTTATGACATGATGGCTACCTGTGGTTACGGCATGGAGTTAAGCCACGTGGACACCAAATGTAAGGTATCCTCTTACTCCGGACGTCATATGCTTTGTGATGCGCTAAAGGTAAATAAGTTTTTATGAAACTTTAAAATCTACTGGCGTTATAAGTATATTATGAGGTACCTACGACAAGTATTGGACAAACACGGCTTGCTTTATTTTCACCAGAAATTCAATGAATATTTCTAGTATTCATTTTTATACTATATATTATAAAAATAAAACATACTTTTAAGAATTCGTATTTGAAATAATGCCTGAGTATTGTAACTACGTTTCTTACTTTAATTTCGCAGTAATTTTAGATTTTTCAAACATATTTTACTGTCTTTATTTTTGAAAATCATAATGAAAAATAATAGCAATCAAAAAGTTAATGTTGTAAAGACTTATCCAACATAATTTTGTATGTTTTACTTACTATCGTAACCAAAGTAAATTTGAAATTTATTGTTTGAAATCTCCACTGATGCTCCATGTATATGAATGACAATTATTGTATTTTTAGGGTTCCAAAGTGGTGGTGATTGTGGCACGTGATCGTGTGGACACATTTGCAAATAATGCACCAGTCATTACAGAAATAGCTCTTCAGTGTTGCAACGTCTGTCCCGAAGTAAGTATTTTTTACTCATTCTATGGAGAAACATGTAGTTAATGGTTATTTGCAATTTTGTACCTTATTTCCGTAGCGCAAAAATACAAATTACCTATTAGAAAGTTGTTTTTGTAATTTATTCTAAAGTAGCTATTTTTCCATAACTCTGTCCGCGTATATGTTATCCGCGTATGATGTAGCTTCCCCAAAACACGAGAGGATCAGTGACAACATTTAAGCGTAAAACAACAATTTTAATATTATTTTAGAATTAAATTATTACCTTACATTGTTTATGGGTAATGAGAAATTTTTATCAAACTGCAGAATTTTCAAATACTTTCAACGGCAGCATTTTTAATAACGTTCCAGTCGTTTCAGAGCCTATTCGGTGTAACAAACAACTAAATCTTTCCTCTGTAAACTATTAGTATCGATTTCTAAGAAAGCTACATGATATCGAATATTGTACTACCATGATTACATATGTTTTAACAGTTTAAATAATTAAATAGATTCAAATAACAGTCAACGTATTTACTGAAACTGTTATCAATTTTAAATCTGGAGGTGCAACGACCTTTTTGATGTATTTAATTGCAGCCAAGGCAGATCTTCTATAGGCGTCAATGAGCGTGAAGAACAAGTCAAATACTAGAAACTGCTAATGATATTTCAATAACTTTCCAATTATTTACAATATTCCACTATGTTTTCTACCTAAAATCCATCATTTTTTTAATGACATATGTTGTCTAGATAATGTGTTTATTAGGTACTTATTTTAATGATATTGATACGTTAAAATTAAGGTAAGTTTGCAGAATTCAGAACTTGAAATGGTCATATGTATGAATGGGATGAAAAAATATGATTCCTGAAGGTCTATTACTAATACGACTAAAAAAAAGGTTTTTTGACAATTTATGAAGTAACGGAGGTAGAACTTGACACTGCCTCTGATGCGCCTGTGCATCTTCACGGATGTGATTTTTATCAAAATGATCAGAACTATTCGAAATTTTCCGAATTTTCGTTTGAGGAGAAATATAATAAGTTCTCAAATTTCTTATTAGTGCTTCACGATAGTAGCAACGGAACCGGTAGAGAGTCTGGTGCCCCTGGTGAGTGAGATACAGCGATTACGCAGCATCTACAATCCACGTACACTACTGGGCTGCGTTGAACTGAACTGTGTACGCGCTAACACAGTTCTAGCCGATTACTTGCGTGTGCCACCCGAAGCAGTACGTGTACCAGTCATTGGTGGCGCCACACCCAACACCATGGTGCCCGTGCTATCGGCTGCAGTCAATCCTTACGCTTTAACTCAGGAACAGGTAAAAATTACTTTTCAACAATGGATATATTAGTGTTATACATATAACCTCTATGCTTGCATGTCAAAAATAAATATATGTACATATTTAATGATGTCAATAAGTTTCTTTTATGTTGTATTGCGATTATCGAGGTTTAGCAACTATCGCAAAGATCGATCATCGGATAGCCAAAATATTGTTAAATTGATTCACAAAACCACGTTAACCCAGTGGTCCCGCCCATATTCGTTATCATCGTCACTATGATGTATTGCGTAATTATCGGTCGCGGTAAATCAGACCTGCCAAATACGTGAATTGACATTCAAACTTGCACACTCACGGGAAGATCCGTCGCGTACTTCCAAGAGACGCATACTTCCAGGAGACGCTTGACGCATTTTCCCGTAGACCTGCAACGAACCTAAAGCTAGCTCCACACGCTGCGCAGGTAGCAAATAGCTACAAATAGCAAACAACACCCAATAAAATCATGCCTTTCCAAGCGCATTAATGAATTTCGTGCATCCCTTAATTCATGTTAAAAACTGATACTGACGCCGTTCACTGACAAACACGAACTACTAACGGCAAACATCACACGTTTGTCTTTGTTGTTCGTGTTCGTTATGTCGTCTGTTTGCCACGCGTGTGGAGGTAGCTTAACTCAAATTTCAGATTGAATGCGTAACTTCTTGCATTATGAGCGGTACGGAAGCAGTGTGCGCTGCTAAATGTTGCTGCACAGCTACACCCTGTCTGGCTGGCGCGTATGCAATAGCGCGCACCACAATAAATGTCGTCAAAGGATTGCAGGGAGCCAAAAATATCGTGCAATGTGCCTACGTGGATAACTTGGGCACTTGCGCGCCTGACTGCCAATTCTTTGCTAGTGAGGTGAAGTGTTCAGAAACTCAGTTTCTTTTTTATATGATAATTAAAGCTACTGTCTCTCCAGATTCGTTCTACATATATACATATATTTTCGTAATTATATTTTTTCGAAATCTCCAAAATTAATGATAATATTAAACCAGTCCATCAATACAGAATAACTTAAAAACTTCATCAGGATTTGTTTATTTGTATATTACTTGCCATTATAGATTTATTTTCTACTTTGAAATAAAAAATCAACATTGCTGGATTCTAATTAATAACAACATAATGCGATATGCATTGTTTATATAGACAATAACAATATTTTTCCTTACATACGGAATGCCATAATTCGTACAGATACTGATAGCACAAATTCTCATAAACTATCCGATAGTGAATACAAATTAACTGAATTAATTATATTTAAATCTTTTAATCTATTTTATTAGGTCATATTAGGACCCTCTGGCATAGAAAAAAATTTAGGAGTGCCGGAACTAACAAAATTTGAAAACTGCTTATTGTGCAATTGCTTGCCATACGTGCGAAACGAAATATGCAGAGCAATATGGCTGGTAAGTAAATGTTCCTGTTAAAAACATTAAATAAATAAAATAAATAAATAAATATTAGACAACATCACATATATTTCTCAGATTCCAAGATGAGTAGCTATTATGAAGTACACCCAGTCCCGTAAAATGTTAATACCTCATATGTAATGTTTACAAGTAATCTGTTAATGGTGACATTAAAGAATGATGTCTTATATCATCAAGAAACTCGATAGCACAATGGTTAGCGCGTTCGGTCTGCGATGCGGATCTCAGCAAGTTTGCAAAGGCTGGTTATTAGATGAATGATCAAAAATTTATGATTTCGAATTCGTCCGTGCTTTGAAAAGCACGTTAACCTGTCCCAAGTCTTTTCCTTCTCGTAGAAGGTGACTCCTCTCTCCCCCCTAAGGGAGGAGTCCCAGCGTTAATGGAAAACCGGCCCTCCTTAGAGGATACGTGGATGATTGTAAACGTTACACATGAGGATGTCTGGACCACATCGGGTTTTACCATGTAGGCCAGCCACACTCACCTGCCTCTTTCAAAGCGGGGTAGTTGGAGAGCCCTGGTTTAAGAGTAAAGGTTGGATTTCCCTTGCGCCAAGAAAAAAATGGCACGCTAAGCCGTTAGTCTTGGCTGCATCTGACATGACGACACAAAACGACAGCATCTTCAAATATCACCAGATACACCATGACCGTGACCGGTATACTCTTATATAAAATAAGTGGATGTTCGAAAAAACGGGATAGTGAAAAAACAGACCTTTGAAAGAATAGAATTCGCCATTAACTGTCACTAGTGTGACTACTAATATTAAAAAAAAACAAAGAGATGCTTCACATCTTATACTTCATTTCAGGTATACACAATGTGCACGCATTGTTGTTGCGTAAACTGCTTAGCTCATCCAGGCACCTGCTTTTCGCCACCTATCGTGCCTTGCGTACCTCCCGTTAATTGGACTTGTGACTACCCTGATACATGTCGTGACGAATATCTAGCCTCGGTAAGTAATATTTTCATAAATGAGTAGCTCTTTGTGTTTTATATTTCCTATATTATATCTTTTGGTGCCAAGTCCTGGAAGGTACTCCCATCTAACATTTGCTGGACACACGGAACGTACACAATATAATTCAGTCCCTTACTAACGAAACTGGGCATGATTAAAAATGATTGCGGCTTTAAGCTATTAAATTTTACCTATTCAACCGATTTCGAGAAGTCTATTCCTGCAGGTTTTCTAGTAATAAATAAAAAAATAAGTTCAAAAACTAAAACCCGACTACAACTAAATCCCGCCTTAAAAAGTTTGAAATAAGAAATTTATTTTATAGCGATAGCTATATTATAATAACGATTACCAAAGAACAGCAAAGTCGTACGCCACTGATCAAACAAAAACTGTTGTGACATACGAGTACGCTGTTCTTTGGTCATCGCTTTTGGTTAATTAATTTCCCTTATATTTGATACCCTACACGAAATGATTGAATAATATATTTTTTTTAGTTTCTTACTTTATGCTCTCAAGAGGGTGCTATTGCAAATTTAATGTAACGTCGCATAGCCTTTAGCACGTGGACAAGGAAGATGCTTCTTATAATAGAATGTTCAGTAACGATGAGTAGTTTCGAAGTTATAAGGGAACAGATGAACATCTTACGTACATGCATACAACTCGTTTACATACCGGCAAAAACCATAACCCTCCTTTTTGTTCCGCAGTAGTCGTACCGTAGTCGGGTAATAAATCAATATTAGATATTGCTTAGATCTTATGTAAGTTAAGTAGCTAAAGTCCTTATATTATAGAAATAAATCTGGACCAACGTAAGGACCACAACACCCAGACTCATTCCAGACCCGAGACGTATACAGTAATAGTTGGTCCACCAACTGCAAGATTTTTAGCAACATGCTGAGGATCTGTTCTCAGATATTTTGTTACTATTATCTGAATTCTTGGTATACAAACATATGAACCATCGCACACGCGCAGATTAGATGATAAGTTATGCCCTGGTTTTACCTATTTCCCGCATAAATTATATAGCCAAACAAATCTTTCATCTTTATAATATTGCGATTAGTCGCCCTTCTCCTCCTCTATAGGAGGCTTCAACGTTATTAGTGTTGGCCTAAACAACATTTTGAAGGCCGCACACGGTAAAGTAATATATTTTTATGCATTAATTAGAACGCCTTGAGGTCACCAATGGTCAAAAAGGGGACAGTAGTCAAATCTTCTGCCCTATGTGACGAATCTGTCATTATCAAATATGCAATGTATAAAGAAAATTCATAGCTGACATATATACAGTTACCATCGGCTTACAATTAGTGTATCAGTTTTAGCATTCATCCAGATATGCCGTGAGATGACGTGCAAGTGTGGCACAACGGAACTCTGTTGGCGGCCGCGTAAAGTTGACTACGACGCGGCGCGCGCCTCCAACCTTACACATCAGCTGCCAGCGCGTGGTGCCTCATGCTCCATATGCCATGTACCGCGCAGCGTGCTTATAGAACAACAAATCCGGGAGCTAGCCAAGGAACCTCGCACGTAGACTTTATGGGTCTTCTTCGCAATCACTATGTCGATGTGTGGATGTGGATTATGAACTTCAGCTTTGTAAAAGTTTTTCGAATTTAGAAGGCAAATTATTAATCAGCTGTCAGCTCGTGGCGGCTCATGCTCCATATGCTACATACCACGCAGCGTGCTTAAAGTATAACAAATCCGGGAGTTGGCTAAGTAACCTCGCACGTATACATTGTGAGTCTTCTTCGCAGTTATTGTTGAAGTATGAATGTGAATTGTGAACTTCAGCTTTGTAAAAGTTTTTCGACTTTAAAAAATCCATTATAGATTAGTTGTCCGCGTGTGGTGCAACTTGCTCCATATGTCACGTCTAAGCACTGGTACTTATATAACAACAAATCCGGGAGTTGGCTATGGAACGTCGCACGTAGACATTGAGCGTCTTCTTTGCACTTCCTATGTTAATATATCGGTGTAATTTTTAAACTGCAGATTTGTAAAGGTGTTTACGGCTTTAAAAGATAAAACGCATCAGCTATTTGGGTCTGCCTCTTGCTCCATATACCTCGTATCAAGCAGAACGCTTACCGCACAACAGTTGCAAGAAAAAGCAGCACACGTTAGACATTATTGATCTTTAGGTGTAAAAGTAAACGATGTTGTTTATGAGCTTTGTTATTATGTTTTGGAGTTTAGAAGGGAAATTACAAAATTTATTTAAAAATTTGATTGAATTGTATTAGTGCAATCGTTATTTTTCAAATTTAGTTAGAACAAATTCAAAGAATGTGAACTATAGTTATTTTATTGAGCTATGAAAGTAAGCACTGTTGTTTGTGTATCCCCTAACTGACGAGACCTTTAAAATTGTTGTTTTTAGCTTTTCCTTGCCAAATTGTAATTTGTCATGGTAAATATAATAAAAGAGTACAAATACAACTTTTGTTTAATAAGACTATATAAAATGTGTGATCATTGACACTGCCTTTTGCACATGATCTGGAAAATTTTATTAATAAATCATAAACACAAAAGAAATTATAACACTCCATTTGTGTCAACTTGGACCTAAGTACTGCTAGTGGTGGTGGGATCGGTGGCATAGTGGATAAGCGCTGTCGGTTACGGGATGGGTGACCAAAATTATTATCTCGAGCTATTTCGTGCTCAGGAAAATCACGGAAAGCCGTAGGTACTGGCTGCATTTGCGGTGGTTAATACCAGTCAGCGTGGAGGGTTCTTCCATTCTCCTAAAACATCTATAAGGACCTGATCCACTGCAGTGGGAATGTAAAAGGGCTAATAATGATGATGAATAACTACAATCACGTTTCAATCAAGTGTTTTCCCACTACTTTATTTAGCTGACGCCAAATATTATTAACTCAATGGCGTGTTGATAAACCAATTATGACAGATTGATATTTTGTGATATGATTTTTTCATACCTTGAATATTTCTCTCAGTTGCGTCAGGCAGTGAAGTGTGTCCTTGTTCTTTAGATTTACTGTTAAAATATAATAGTATATGTACCTATGTCTGATATGATGTCGACTGTAAGTGTTTATAGTACGTTTAGTCAAACTACAAAATAATATTGCATTTTTATTTTCCCTACTTCAATAGCTACCAGATAAAATATCAGAAGACAATATAAACCTGAAATGCAATATGTATACTAATATAAGACGTAACTATAATATATGGCGATTAGTAAGTACGCAACACCAGAAAAAAATACATTAAAATAGTTCTCTAATTTAATATCTAAAAATACAAACAATTTCAAAATAAATATGTAAAAAAAAATTATAACAAACACGTATAGAAATTACATATTTAGTAGATTTCGAATTTTCGATGTCACATTATCTATTTTGCATCTTAAAACATCGAAAAACTTGGGATGTGGCGTTATCTTGAGCTAAAATATTCAAATGCAAATTAAATAGAATTATTATGTTGACCCTTCCGAACATCTACATTGGTCCCGATTACTTCTGTACTCTTTAGCGGTTATCCATCCAGGGACCGCATAGTTCATGAGTTAAAAGTTTCAAATATATATTTGTACATTTAAAGTTTCATCACATAAATAGGATCTTTTGGAATTTCGTGGTTTTTAGAGCTGCCTAACATTTTTTTGCCGACATGTTAAATATGAATGTGTATTGTATGCACGGAAATATAATGTATGATTATTTTTATATATTTGATAAATTTTGCATTCACAACGCTCTATTGATATTTATATATTTTTTAATTGTTAAAGTCGGCAGTTCCAAATACTGAGTTTAGGGGTACCCAGTATTGGTGATTTTTTAATAATTTTTCTTTAAGGTTATTAATTATCTAACGAAATTGTTGTTGTATAAGTATAATGAAGGGGGATGAAAATCCCAAAACAGTTACCTCTTTCTCCGGTTTTTTCGATGACTGTTTTTGAGCGTCTACTTTATTGAAAACCATTTTTTCGTATCGAGCTTCCATATGACAAATAGATTTCGATTCCATCTTCTAAAAAACGAATGCCGAAGAATAGCAAGTAGTACTTATTATGTATGCTAAAATCCTGACTTTAGAGCTCGATATCCTTCGTCACCTTTTACACGGAGAGCCCGTGATAAAAATGTACAAAACCCTTATAATATCAGTATGTTAAAGTACCATGTATCACTCAGTAACCAGGACGGATGTCCTCCTCTGATACATTTTTGTCACGATTTCTCCGTATTATCACTTTTAAGTCGCTCTATTGTCATGTGTTAAAGATATACATACAAAGGATTCTTAAGGACGATAAAATAAATACGACGTAAGGGTTATACCTAATAATCACAGGTTATACGGATAACGGCTATACATAAACACAGTAGTTGTAATTACGACTCACTTTTGTAATGTTAAAGTTGATTACGGATTGAATAGGATTGAAATCTTCCTTCATATTTCTCACTGATTTCTGTAAAGAAAGTTAAATGAAAATATTGAAGGTTATCTTAATTTAAAACTAAATATATGAATTGTAACAAACTATATAAAATGAGATAAGCTAAAAGTGACTCGTGCTCGTTTCTCTAAACTTAGGAGTTTCCAAAATCTGACACCTAAATATTTGGTCTTCTTCTTTTATTAATGGCTTTCACACAATTCTGCCAAAGTCAAGTGAATAAATGAATAATTATTAATGTTTTATCAAGGTTTTATCACCTCATAATATATATTTTTATTTTGTCTCTTTACGTGTAAAGGCCACAAACGTGACATTAGGAAATATGCACATTTTTGGAAAATGTTTTTATATAACTGTAAAAAAACTAAAATATTGTAAAATGAATCATTGATGAAAATAAGTAATAGCTACGAACAGTTTAAACACGGGAAGTTTTGGCGCGCTCGTCGTGACGTCAAAGTACACGACTAGAGATATGACATTTTAAATCAATATGGGTTTTGAGTGATTGACTATGATTCAATAACCCAAATCGATTAACAACTTATTTTTAAAGTATAATAGACTTTTTTTTAATAAATCATATAATTTACCAAATTGGTGAAATAAAAATAAAAGCGTAAAACATCATTTAAATTGTAATCAGTTGTTTATTTTGCGATGTTATTGCATCGATGTTAACTTTTTGTAACAACGACATCCCTATACGTGTACATTTTCGTCACATCTGCTCTGACAAGTAGCATGGCGTTTAAATATTTTGAAGTTACCGCATTTATTTTGCACTTTTTAATAATTATTTTCAAGAAGAAAACGAACTAATGTTGAAAAATATTTAGATAAACTTTATTCTAAAGCAATAACGATTGTAATAAAATATATTTAACCATTTTTTTAATCAGACGCATATTCCTTTTTGCGGAATTGTGTAAGCATTCAAAATAAAAAGTGCTTAGTAAGGCATTACCTAACGTTACAGGTTTGGTGAAACGACAAATCTGCTTAAACTATTCTTAATATTAAGCGAGTTCTAGGTTAATGAAAAAAGGCATCATTATTTTATTCTGATCCGAAAGACTTTATCCTGTTCTAATTTACCATACGGATAAACATAGCATAATTCTTTAAAAAAAATGAACGAGTTTTCCTATTCTTTTTCAGTTTATCTCTTCAAAATTGTTATTAACAAAAGTTTATTTTAGTTTACTTTATTTTTACTATTTATATTTATTCTTACTTTAGGAACGCACACGGTAATACCAGATGGGCCACCGTAAAGCATCTTAGGTTTGAAACACGGCCCTACAGACGCTTTTCGTTCTAACAATGCTGCTTGACTTTTTGCATTCACATTCTGAAAATAAAGGAAGAAAGATTAATATTTTTTTAACCTTTGCAATGAACATGGTACGTCCCATTGAGCGAACGACAAAAATAAATAACAAATCTACGATTCTTTCTTAAAAATATTATAATGCTAATAATATAATGAAAATGTTTTCAGTGGTTTCGTGTGCTTCCACGAAATACATCAAAGGCCATTCGAATTCGGATCACGCACTTTGCATATTGTACTAAAATTTGACATGGAACACATGCATGGAATGCATACTTTGATTAATATAAATAATTAAAAAAAAATATTTTAAAAATTATATACTTATTTTATGAAAAACGGCTATTTCGTATCCTCTAAATGTAACATAATGTTAATCATAACGGCAATTTTTTTTTAACTTTTTTTTTATACCAACGTTTTCACGCGCACTATCCATAAATGAAACAACTTTTAAACGGTTTTATCGCGTTATTATTTTTCTTTTATTGACGTTTCGAACCCTTTACATGTTCCGTGTTCACATAAGATTAAGGTGTTGATTGTCTTTTTAATTAAGATTATTGTTACCTTCGAGTATATTTATAGTTTGCATAAATATACTATTATACCTTCAAAACAATACTATTGGTCACATTCACAATACAAAACTTTTATATTATATGGAAACGTTTACATTTATTAAATGAAATTATTTTAAAACTACATTTGACTTATTTATTTACCCCTGGCTACCGTAAACTACAACCAGTTCCAAAATTTGGGAGTCTTGTCTGAAATCATATTTACAGAATGAACTAATTGTATCTTTTAGTTTTTAAATGTGTGATCTGGAATGAGATTTTATTTGACTAATTACTAGTTCCCAAACCGGTAGTATACCGCGCTAATCTCAGAAACTACTGGTTCGAATTGAAAAATTCTTTTTGTGTTGAATAGACCATTTATCGAGGAAGGCTTTAGGCAACTATTAAGAGCGAAGAAATAATGGAAAACGCGGACGAAGTCGCTGATGGCCACTAGACTCTATAAATTCGGATTTATTTATTAGATTCTAATAATTAATCGTTGTTCAGTCACAAGAATTTTTGGATTTATAAAAAACATACTTTTTATTTATGAAATTTTGAAGTACGGCACCTTTTTAGGTAAAAACTTAAAGCGGTATTTTTTTTTACCAAAACGTCATTTATCATATTTGTTTCAACAGTTTTAATTCTCTAACATTTTCATTTCGCTATAACTAACCTGTAAATAAGTTAAATCAATATCTTCCCAAGTAATCTCTTTTTTCTTTAGGGTGTTAGAATGTGTAGGTTGTTCCACCTGCAAATGGAAAAGTTTTACACAACTAGCACTTGACTTCATTTATATGTATACTGTTGCGTATATCATTTATATTTATATGTACAGTCAATAGCTAGTCAAATTATACAAATCTGTCAAATTCCACTTGATTTTAAACCTTCATGATCGGAACGTAGCAGCCGTAGCACGTAGCAACCCACAAAACTAAAATCGTTCTTCAGAGCAGAATATTTTTTTACTTTGTGGTAAATTGTTTGATTGTAGCAGATAGTGTGAACAGCTGATATGCTATTTATAAGTTTCACTATTATCATGATTACAGGTTGAATAACATTTTACTTGTGAAGTCTTTCAAAACGTATTAGGATCCAGAGACAATCTAAATTTCTTGGGACATGAATAGACAATATGAGAGAACACTTATGTCCATCCATGCTATGATATATATTATATATGGTATATATTTAAAAATCAATAATAATTATTACGAATAAGAATATTCCAATAAGGTTTATTAGTAATTTTATGTACAGAACTAAATACACGCGCAAAAAATCACACACAAGATTCTTATTGTCCAGCTGGCCATCCCCAATCACCACCAACATTCAAAGATAGAAATAAAACAATATTAAATAGCAGCACCAGGGCAATATGACGCTGATCAGAAATGGCCAGCTGCTTTGAATTGGGTAAATGATGAAAAAACGCCGACGTTAAGTGAGTAGCGGGTGCAAGTTCAAATGCCACTGAACTCGCGAGGAGAAATGTCTTCTTCGGAGGGGGGACTGTAAGCGACACCGCAGCAGAACAGTTGCCGCATCGCACGCGACACCCGCGAAGCACGAGATTCGCTGCGCGGCAGCCCGCCCGCCTCCTCATCGTCAGACTATAAAGGAACAATAACGATCTTCAGTAAATGTACAAACAAGTGTTAATAAAGAATTTTAAAACTAATATAACTCTATACAAGCGGGCTACCGCGTTTACCGAATCTATTTTGCAACTTTGGTGTTGTTGCGTGTATTATCCGTTTATAGCTTTCCTAAATTAAGGATAAGTTAAATTACGTATTTCAAATCCCTACAAAATTTTGCTCCGTGGTTTAATAAAAGTTAGTGCGCTAACTTACCCATTCAGAATGTTCTTTAAGAGGATCGGAGGTCCGTATTTCTACATTATCCTCCGTTATGCTGTCAACGTCTGCTTTCTTATCTTGCTCAGTTTTCTCAGTTAGTTTAGGAGCGGACTCCATTGATACTACAGCATTATGGTCTGGTATTGGTTGTGGTAAAGTATCTTTCTGAAACCAAAATTCATCATCATCAGCCCTTTTACGTCTCCACTGCAGGGGCTCAGGCCTTCCTTATGGATGGTTAAGGACGATGGGCCATGACCCTCCACGCTGGCCCAATGCGGATTGGAGGGTAAATTATCATTATTAATATACTTTTATAACTGTTTGTATATGCTTAGATACACACAAAAAAATATTCTTATTTCTTTAGACATTGATTTATTATACATAAAGATAAAGTTTCTTTGTTTGTGGAGTTAATCTTCGGAAATACTGATTCGATCAAGAAAATTCTTTCACCTAGGGGAAGATAAAATCATACTCGGGTGACATAGGCTATAATTTACGCTGCCAAGTCTCAAGAAAACATACACTCTTAAATAAGTAGTTATGAGTATTAACATTTATTTTGAAATAGTACGTAGTCATAATAATAATGTTATCTTAACACGCATTCAAAATACAATTAACTCGTTGGACAAGAATGTCAAATACCTATTCTAAATAGCACAATAAACGTAGTTAATGTACAGGAAAGCTCATTACGACTCGCATCTCGTTCTGTAATTATCATTAAAATAATATCCCACGTTTTATAATATTCTTTGACAATTCATGAGGTCTAGTAATATTTATATGACAGCAGAAAAAAAATGGGAAACGCACATATATCGTATTGAGTACAAAAGCAGAAGCTACATCAAAATATGAAGCAGAATTGAGTCTGTTGCCGAAAGTTTCCCATGCCGGTGTCAAGGTGTAACCATATCTGAAGTTCCGGACTCAATTTCCGATGTACTCAATATAGAAAATTTTCTTTTCTATATAGTCTGGAGTGTATATGTTGACGTACTTTAATATTAAATATAATACAAGTGCTAAAATCTACTTAATTTACGATCTGTGTTAATGATATTGTCACATCTTTTGCATGTGTCTTGGAATAGTGACCAAATATTTATAACTTCAGCAAGACGATGATGATCCAGGTTCGCTAGATACACATTATTGATTTTATGTGAATCGGGACAAAAGTTTGCCATCAATACCACCAAAGTTTTCTAGTCGATCAGGAAAAGCATGGATATCTCTCTCACCTGAGCATCCATGAGTACCATCGCTATAGCTTCCGGTGAAGATCCTCGTCTCTTGCTTGACGATAACTTCTTGGAAGGATGAGTTTGTCTCTCAGAAGAAACCACTGTCAAACAAGATTGACTTCAAATAATGTTATCACTACATAGTATAAAACAAAGTCGCTTTTTCTTTGTATGCTTAAATCTTTAAAACTACGCAATAGATTTTGATGCGTTTTTTTTTCATAGATAGTGTGATTTCAAAAGGAAGGTTTTTATGTATAAAACAAGACCACGCGGGCAAAGCCGCTGACTGAAAGCTAGTATTGTCATATTCAATGCAGTAAATGTATGTATCTCACCTCGCTCACATTCATTGTGGTCTATCGTGTCAGTGATCTTGTTTGGTGGAGCATCTTTGAGTTCTTCTGTTAACGCTGGAATATTAAATAGTATGGCTATATTTAGTACGCCATTGACTTAAAGACTTAATTTTGGATAAAGAAAAACAAATTTCTGATTCAATATATATATATCGTAGCATGTTTTAAGACAACCTTGGACTTTGTGACAAATTTACCAATAATGAAAAGTCTAGACTGAAATTTATATATTTAAACAAGTACTAAAATATTTTGAAGTATTGTTATGGATCTACCATTCAATACGAGAACTACGAGAGCTACGAGAGCTACGAGAAGGTTGTCAATGTAAAGTATAATTTGAAAGCTAAAAATAAAGTGTAATAAATTCTCACATGGTACGGCCGGCGCCCGGGATCTCTTATGCAAGTCTGGTTTCGCTTCCTCTTGTAGGTCAATGGGCCTATAGGACTTATGCCTACTAGACGCAGTCTGCTCCACCATAACTACCGAAATATTCTCCCCACTCGTCTTCTCTTGGTCCGACATTATTCACTAAAAACTAACCATTCATACGTTCCTTGAATTCAAAAACTTCACGAATTTGTCACCAGACAGACAGCAAAAGATTTTTTTTGATAATTACAAATGGGTGAAACGTCACTCTTTGCAAAAATTTTGACAGACTACTTTATTGTTTTTACGCCACTTCTATTTTCGAAATAAAAAGAGATCCACAAAAAAGTATTTCCTTTATTGTATCCTACTGTTATTGTTTTTCTTTTGGTTGCGTATTATTTACACGCTTATTTCCTCTTAATTTCCTATTAGATTGTCAAAGTAGAGATGAAACAGTTTAAGTACAAGCTTAGAGGAAATGGATCTAGTCTTTATTCACCGTCAATAAAACTTGTTATAAAAACACTTTTTTAAATCGTTAAACTATATTACTTTCCATTACTTTTTTTAACAGACATAAGTGTATAGTGTATTTTTACCTTGCTGTTTTATTTCAACAAATAACCATAACAACCTCAAATTGCGTAGACCTCAAATAAATGTCTTACATACTTGAATTAAAGAAATACCGCTTAAATCAGAAATAAAAAAACTCTATATTCAGAAAATATCGGTAATCAAAATTTTACTTTGATTACCGTCTACTTTCTGATTACCGGCGAACCACAAATAAAATTCTTTTTTAATTGACCTTTTTTCTTAGCATAGTGATTGAAATTCTCTTTGTTTTTTTTTCTTTCGCCATTCCTGTACCTGTCAGAATAATGTAAAATTTTCTTTATAGTCAAATTTATCGTCTGTTCCCATTTTGTAGTCAACACGGGATTATTATTTTTATAAATATGCCCGGAAGAAGGAAAATGCAATGTGATGGAAAATAAACAGATTCCATCCAAGAAATTAGTGTCCATCAAAGAAGAAAAATTGTTACGTAAAGTTGATTACGATACTTTCATAAAGAAGTCACTGTCTCCTAAAAAGACACCTCCCTTATGTAAATAAAATATATTTATTGAAAAAATATTATGTAGTTCTATTCTACATATTTCAATACTTTAACATCAATTTTTAAACATATTGCAGATTTAGAAATAACACCAACAAATAAAACTCGCCGTCATACTTCTCAGAAAGTTCTAGTTTCTATTAAACCTTGTACACCACCTATTAAAACTATATACATTGCTGAAAAGAACCGATTTAATTGCAAAAAGGTAAGAATTTGAACTTTCCTTGTAAATTGTAATTCTTTTTCAATGTACACTAAACGTTTTTGTTCTAGGGTGCTAAAAAATCAGGATCGCATCTCGGTATCGGCGATCATTCTTCAGTTACTGCAAGTAAGTACAGTTTTTTATTAGTTGGTCTAAAAAGGAAGAATGAAAATTATGTATTTATATTCTTCTACAGGTTTCTCTGAGGATGATTCTAATTCCAAGGAAGTGAATTTTGTCTACGTTAGCAGACCAGGGGATAACATTAAAAGTGAAATAGCATTAACAAACGAGTCCTCGATCAGTGATCAGGTAGAATCATCTACAACCATTTCGAAATGTTCCCATGTTGAAGTGTCACCGAAAACTTTATACAATGTTAGGAAAAGGTCAGCAGAAAAATGTTATATCTACACTCAGCCACAAATTATAATGAACCTTCCACGTAACGACGTTAAAACGGATAAGATTAAAGTTGATTCTAAAAAAGTTGACGTCTGTACGTTTATTTGTACAGATACATCTACTGAGAGCTCGATTGTCCCTTCCACTAGTACGCTCAATAAATTAAATAAGAGAATCGATCATCTCGAACGTAAACTTATGAAACAAGAGATGGTATTTCGTTCAATGAACCCTAATCTACCTTTATCTTCATCAGATGAAGAGGCCAAAGATTACATTATGAAAGCATCAGGAACTACACGCCCTGGATGTAGTTATATAGAACAATATAGTCATGTACCTGAAACATCAGCATTTCAAAAATACACTCACCAACCGGCTCCACTATCCCCCAGCAAAGCTACCACTTTGGAGAAAGAACACAATTCCGAACAATATGGCAGAGATTTCACTACATATGATGGTATTACAGCACGAGGAAGGCGACAATGTGCTTCCGTTCCTTGCAAGCGTGACGATATACCAAGAGTAGCAGCGGAAAGAGTTCACAAAATACGTCACAGATTAAACCCTGTTAGAGATTATCGGTTGATGGACACAATTCATTATTTAGCACAAGGAGAATTTGCTCCACGAGACGACGGTATTAAATTGACACCGTCTCGTGAAGCCGTTTTAAGTGATATTATTTATGAAGATGTATGTCGTACGCATTGGCCAAATGCCCGATTAAGTCGTCGAATACCTCATGCCGAAAGATGTAGTACCCGATGTGAGTTACAAAGGTTGATTGACAATTTGTTAAGAGAGCGAGTAGCACACGTAGAAAGAAGACGGCGACGTCATTATAGAATTGTGAAATTGAACCATCGACACGAAAGTTGCAGACCAGTTGGTAAAACAGGCGATATTATTGTGGCTAGTCATAAAAACAAAAGCACCAGCGAAGAAAAAGAAATGGCCAGTACTCATAACGCTGCTTGTGCAGATATGGCAGAGAAACGGCGAGAAGATCGCAATTTGCACAAAGGTCCACACAGTCACGATCGCTTTATGTTCCCAGAAATACGACGAAATCATAGGTACGAACCAGATAATAGCGTTCCTGGACCAAGTTATGCTGGATCACGTTCACCAACTAATAGAGAAGCAACATGTTGTTATCATACATCTAATCATTTAAAAAAAGATAAAAATATAGACGAGCAAGCCACGGGATGCCATCGAAAGGGAAAAATGGAGTACCTTACTAGTAGTAGTAGCATTTCTACCAACAAACATAAGATGAAGAATCCTCGACTTGTGGTTAAGAAGGAAACTTCACGTCGAAAATGTCAGTCGAAAGATGGACCTGACCTTGAACATTACATTCTTTTGCCAACATTAGTGGTCCGCACGCCATCCAATGTGAAACGTCAAAAGAAATTTAATGAACTGTATCATCGGATTTTAAATGTGCAACTAAATGATGGTATGCCTTTTTTTGTATTTTTAGCACAATACATTTTGTATTTATTATCACATATAGAAAATAATTTTGAAATCCAGCGAGTTACAGCGCAAGTAATAATTTCATTACTTAATCTTCATTTAAAAATTGAAGTTCTATTTTTATTTTCAGCTCGAAATGAACCTGGGCCTCATGAATCTGTTCAACAAAACTCTAATAAAAATATCAAGAAAGACGTCGGTTTTAATATCAATATTACTTTATCGGATAGCTCGCAGTAGATGAACACTAAATTATGGATAGTTGACCTATTAATAAAGTTAAATCGATATCGCTGTACTAGGTAACACTATTTATTAAATTATTTATACAGCCTACGTATTCTTCTTTTATTTCTAGCTCTTTCATTTCTAACGTTTTAACTTTATGAAGTTCGTTTAAGTATTTTTTATACTAAAGTTATACTTAGAATATCATATAATAAAGCTTTAAGTACCATAATAATTTACATACCTATCTACTCAACTCCACAAAGTATGAAAGAAAAATAATAATCAGAATGAAATATAAAAATTACGTCCTTAAAATATACACACAGTCGATTGTACTAGCAATCCATACTAATATTATAAATGCAAAAGTAACTATTTTAGGCTTATAATACAATATTCAAGGGAAAAATACAAAGGACGATAATATCCAAAGCTTTTAAAGACAAAATCGATTAGGTTTTTGGATTTTGTCATTTAATGCTGTGAGCCAGTGGCAACTAATTAAGCGCAACAGAATAATTGTACATAATTATACGTATAATCATAAAAATTGTACGTGTGGTTTTCTGTGTAAATAAATCATAGTTGTGGTCATAGATCTATAGATGTGGTACTGCCACAAAGCATTCACAGCCGCCGTACCATAGGGTGGTTTTTACCAAGCAGGCTTCATTAATTTTTTACGTAATAATCGCATCTAAATAGAAACTAAACTATTTGCGTTTTGCCATTGTACTAACTACCCGAGGTCCAATATTAGTGCATTGAGTTCCTCACAAATCAACAGTGACAGATATATTTATCGTATTGTGATCTAGTGACAAGAGTTGTCATAAAGGGTTTTAGTTGAAACGCTTAACTTTCTATAATACGGGGTAGACATTAAACGAAAATAAATACATGTTATTATTTTATCTGATTGTATTTAATATACTATTACCGATAAGCACACTATCATGGTTATTTTATTTATTATATTATGTAAATTAATTAAATGAAAAATCATTTAATTTATACTCGTCATGTGACTGCAACCAGCGCGTGACGTCACAGCTCTTTAAGGAAGATCTCATAAATTTGATATTGACATACATATAACTGTACATAGAACGATGTTTGTTGTGGTTATTGTTTATGTTAATTTTAAGAGGGCTGTGACGTCACATCGACGCCATCACAGTGGTTAGCGTTTTGACTGGAAATTTTTGATAATGATTTTATTTTTAGATTTTAAAAATATATGTCATGTATAACTATAAGAAATATATATTAATAAAAATCATCTATTGATCATATTTGCCTATACACATAGTTTACAGGTTACGTTTATTTTTTTTTATAGTACGTTAATTGCACGTATAAACATGATTGCAGCAATAAGACCCTACATAACCACGAAAAACCTTTTCACCTCGACTAACTCACAAGGACAAATAGAGAGACGCGAAATATTATGAAACCTTAAAAGCAACATTTTGTATTAAAAATAATTTTCAGCATGGCATTGTGAATGTGCATTGTGAATGCAAAATTAATCAAAATATAACAAACATAACGCCAAAATTAACGGTTACACGTCTCTAGCTTATTATAATATCTGTCACTCCGAGATTTGATCCGTTTTCGAGCTAATTTCACTGGACTACTCGCATGTCTTTCATACTTTTATGATATTACAGGGAAACTTAGTGATATTGACAAATAGGACGGACGTACATACCTATACGTCAAAGTGAGATATGAGATCAGTTATTCAAGTATGAAACCTAGTACGAAATACTATGAATCTCTAACTTTCAATCTTGTGTATGAGGAGCTAAAATACCACCTTTGACAAATGGTATAATTGTAATTGTTGTAATTAATTATACATACAAGCAAATAAAATGTAGGAGCAACTGGAAGTTAGGATACTGGTACCTAAAGACAAATATTAATAGGCAATCTAGAAAATTCTAATCGCAATTGAATTAAACTGCAATCAATATGTTTTTTATTATTATTAATAAAACTCTTCGAAGGTCGAGCTTGCGAATGGACACGTGCTTAACACATATTCAAGCTATTCTCTAAGATATAATATTGCGCTGCGTTAAGTTCAAGATATTTACTTTTTTTTTAACGAAGACTTGAATTATCTGAGCAGCCTAAATCTAAATAAAACAGTGGCTTCCCGCTGTCGGTATGCTGAGATCTTTTCAACTACACTACGGATTGTATTGCGGTTTTATCTTTGTAAGTGTGGAAGGTTTATATGTATAATACAGGACCACTCTGGGCGAGGACGCTGGCGGAAAGTTAGTCATGTAATAAGGTGAATAATAGCTACAAGTTTTATTATAAGTATTAAGATAATGTATATATAAAGCTTTTTTTAAATTATGTTTTAGTAAATTTCCGTTTACCCACATAAAGGTGCTTAAAAATAAAAACTAATCTATAACAAACGAAAAACGCATTAAATTTAGTTAACAAGACTTGACCCACACTAATATATTAAAATTTCTACATGAAATAAAAAAAAACGTTAAAACATACAGGACATTTGCGCGTGTGCTATTAAAATAACTATTTTTGTTAATCGGACGAAATAATTTATAACTAATACCGCATCGCGAGATCATTAATTACGATGTCGAAGCTTTTGTATGCGTTCACTTTTTTATTTATGAAATCTTGCTGACTCAGGAACATCAGCCATACAAAGTTTCGACTCTTGAAAAGTAATCGAAATTGCAAGTATGGACATACATATAAATATATAATTTTTTTTCCAAGTATAATTTAATATGTTTATTATGTCTTAATCATATTAAACATATTTTAAATTTTCACAAAAAATCTCGAATATCAAGCAGCAGCTTCATTTTATACATACATTTTTAATAATAAGTTCAGTACCAATTTGTATTATAAAAAAAAATATATGCTGATGATAATTCAAATTGACATAATAAATATCTAATTTTCTCCAACATGTTAATATTGACATTTATTTTTTTTATAATAACATTCTTTTTGTGTACAAAATATACATAATCATATAAAATCCAAAATATTTTCTTTAAAAAAGAAGCATTTTATATGTAGTACATATCCAATGCATAACATTTTTTTTCTGGCCGCACTTCTCCGACCGTGTGTACCTATTGTCCTTCACGAACGTCTCATGTGTTTTCGCACCTGTCTGTACTCATGTTGTCCCCATTAAAGGCATCCACACCGAGCAAATTGTTAGTCTATTCTTCAACTGCATACCGTTTAAGTCGCTACATCTCCTACTTTCATTCAAAATTAATCTATCTAATTACCTGAAGTTACTCCCTAATCACAGAGAGAACAATATCGATCGATAAATACATAAACAGGTGTATATTCATTTAAATTTCTCAACATTTTGCTGTGATCTAAACATAGGATACAGGTGAGCTACCTTAAATTTTATTTTTAGATAAGGAATTAAAAAAAGTCGTGTTGATATAAGTTTGATACCTAAGTATAATGCATATTATTCTTATTTACAATACGAAAACAAAAAATGTAAGAGCATTATTTTTCTCTTCGATAAAGCACAATCATTCCTTAGGAAGAAAGCAACAATCCTTACACATAAAGTATAATCTATATTTTTTTGTTTTTAAAACGTGAGATATTCACTGACTTTCTTGAATAAGTAGCTTTTGAGACAAGTATTATTTATAATTTTTTTTAAAGTTAGTAGTCGGTTCTATTTTTTTAAATGAATTCCAAATATGCAATCTTTTGTTTTTTAGCTGGAAATGGTAATGTATTATGTCAATTTAATACACTCACAGGCACAATGAACCGCCCACCTTCTATTTCTTTATTTTCACAGATATTGCCAAACTTAGACCATATTTTATGAAAGGAATTTAAAAAACAATACTTAAATAAAAAGAAACAACAAACATATTGGAAAAAAAAACTTTTATTAAAGGATGCTTATCTAAAATCGATTTTTTGAAAAACTTCAATGAAATTTTAAAATTTTGGTTTTAAAAGCTGCAGTTAAAAGAATATATAGGAAATTAATAGTGGGTGTTACCTCTGGCCCTAATGACTTCTTACGAGCGATAGTAAAACTTGAATCCCGACCTCATTAAAGTACTCACTGACGGATCTTGTGGTATGGCAACGTGCGTGCATGCATTAATCTGCAGTTGTCACCAGTGAACGAAGCAAAAGGTGTGACATGGTCTTCAAAAACTTTTTCCAAGTATCTTTGAGCGTTTACACTTCCTCTATCGAATACAACAATATCGATACGAGCCTCATAAGGGATACCTTCCCATACCATTATGGATCCTCCCTGGTAACCTACTGTTTCAGTTATAGCGCATGGAGAAAATCTCTCATTTTGACGCCTGTAGATAACACTGACGTCCATCTGGATCTCTTAAGGCTATTATTCTGCTCTGAGAACAGATCGTTCTTCCATTCCTCTACAGTCCAGTATGCAAATGCTCGCGCAAAACCAAGTCTAGCTCTACGGTATTGTGAGAGCAGTTGCGGAGCGCGAGCTGGACGAAAAGCCCTCCAATTACTTTCTGCTAGTCTTCTTCTAATGGTACGTTCACAGACAATGTCATTTCTCACCTAAAAAAGACGCGTACGAGCTTCAGTAGCGGTCGAAAAGCGATTTCTCAACAAACTGGTGACAACGAAACGGTCATCTCGAGTCGAAGTACATCGATGTCGACTTAGACCTGGCCTGCGGGTGTATAAGCCTGTCTCCCGAATTCGTCTGATGGCATCTCGTGACGTAGTTCGAGTGTGTGAGCAATACGACGTTGGCTATACCCCGCATCAGCTAAAGCTACATCAGTTGCATCGAGTGACATTTTTTGCAATCACAAACAATGAGCAAATATTATAATTTCAAATTAAATAATATTATAGAAAATAACAGGAAATGGTAACTCGGTAACACAACAGCAACAATGTAAAACAACGACTAAATTCCGAAAACCCTTCGGTGACACAAATTTAGGAAAGAAAATAATGGTATAAGTATTTTATTTATTGCTAGAGTAGCCACTTAACAAAAAA